TATATATATATATATATATATATATATATATATATATATATATATATCTCACTCTGTGAAGTACATATTCTATATGTTATTATATATCATTAATATATATTAATATTATATTATTAATTTATATTAATATATTAATATATAAATTATATATAATATATGATAAATAATATATGATATATAATATATAGTATACAGTATATAATATATATTAATATAATATATAAATTAATATATTAATTTATATTATATTATATATTAAAATATAATGATTATATATATTACAATTAATATATATAACAATGTATGTTATAGAATATGTATTTCACAGAGTGAAACATCTCTCTTGGTATAAAGAACAAAACTAATGCATGTATTATCCACCTCAGTTGGGAGAAAAACACCTTTGTAGACAAAAGACATTTCAGTACTCAGTATTAAAATAGTTCAACACACACACACACACACACACACAAACACACAACCTACCTCCTGGTCAACATAGGGAGAGCCCATCTCAAAATTTTAAGGAGAGGTGGTTTGGGGATGTAGTTCAATGGCAAAACTTATAGGTGGCAGGATCTAGGCTCAATCTACAGTGAAACAAAATGAAGTAATACAGCAATGAACTTTTGTGTGGTGGACTAATTTAATACTGAGTACTGAAGCATCTTTTGTCTACAAAAGTGCTTTTCTCCCAACTGAGGTGGGTTACAATACACGCACTATTTTTGTTCCTTAAACCAAGAGATGTTTCGCTCTAGGAAATATTCTCCTTTTCTAATTATTTGCCCATTCTCCAAATACTTTTAAGATTAAACCTCAGTTGCTTCATAATGTTAGAGGTCCAGGAATCTCAAAGAGATGACAATGTGCTAATTAAAAGAAAATGTATCTGAGCTAATTTAACCAACATATAACTCCTAGAGACCACTGACTTCGGGCTAATACAGATCTTGAATCTGCTTCTTTTGAGTAATTCCACATATCCCTTCCCAACACCTTGCCTCTATTTTCTTCAATCCACCTGGGATTAAATTAGTTACAATGCCCAGGAGACAACTTCAGGCTTTTTGTTACCTTCCTACCCTCCATCTGAAGAGGCACATTATGCTTCATTTCAGCTGGGAAACAATTGCTTCTCAAAATAACAGGAGTTGAAGTTGTGGATGCCAAAGACTGCTGGCTGTGTGGCAAGGAGTGTCACTTCCTGAGACACCTGTTATAGAACGCTAAGCACTCTTTTCCACTATGGTATGAAGCTCACCTCCAGCAAACCAGAAGATATCCAGCCTCATTCTTTCAAACAAGTGGGAAAGCATGTCTGATTACATGAGCTCCCTTTAGACAGTGCCAGTCCAAATCTCAAGTGCCAGTTTTGCCAAAGAAGATGGTATCGATTGTAGTTGTAAATTAAGTCTATCTCACTGCGTAGTATGAATTTAAGTATAGAAATTTTTAGTAGGTAGGTTTTAGAAACATTTGTCTAGGGAAGAAAACAACCCTAGGTCATGCTAACATATTTTTAGTTGTCTTCTTTCAGTGACATATAGGAAAGTGGCTCAGATTAACTGAGAACTAAATTTCTCCTTTAAGGATCCAATAAAGTACAATTTCAAAACAGCTTTTCCAAATGTGGAAACAACTTATAAAGAACTACAGGATGAGAGAGGGGAGACAACAGGAGTATGGTTGGAAGTGGAAATAGGCTAGGAGGTTTGAAGGAGCAGAAATCAAAAGGCAAAGGGCAGAGAAATTCAACTAGGCAAGCAGGTTACAAAAGTTACTTTATAAGCCAGAAGTCATCTCTGTGGCCAATTATTCTAAGCACATAATCTCACCTCATTGAGAAAGCTGTTTATATTAAGGATAAAAGACAAGAGTTTTAATGAGAAATGGAATCATTAAAACAACTATACCCATACTTGTGGTGGTTTGAAAGCGAATGGCCCTCATAGCTTGTTTGAATATTTGGTCCCAGTTGATGGAAATGTTAGTGAAGGATTAGGAAGGTGTGGCTTTGTTGGAAGTGTGCCACTGGGATTTCAAGACTCCTGCAAGTTTCCTAGAGCTTTCTCTGCTTCTGTTGTGCGAGGAAACGTCGATGAACCCTCAAAGACCACCATGGAGCTGAATACGATGCAATCACATTAGGGTCTCTTTAGTCAAGCTCCAGCTTGGGTTCCCTGTCAACCCTGACACAGCAGGAAGGTGGAGCTCTGAGCCTAGTTTTAGGCAAGCATTAAAAGAGGCAAGAAAGTGGTATCTAGCCTGGTACACACCTGATTGGGAGGCCATTATCGCCTTTAACATAATTGGCTGGTGCTAGGACTAAACCATAAACTTAACTTCTGCCTTCCTTCAGCCATGTAACCTGGAGGTGTAGGTTTGTTGGGGAATAACCTGAAAACTGGTGTTAGAGGCAGGTCTTGGTGAGTAGTCTAGAAACTGGCGCTAGGGATCAGTCTGTTAGCTTGAGTTCAACCTTAGGTCAGGTTCTCTGAGATAGAGTCTGAACCCAAAAGATTAGGTCTCTCACTTCATGGTTGTAGATTAGGAGGTGAGTTTTCTGCTGCTCCTGTTACCAGGCTTTTGCTCTCTGCCTGTATGGACTCGAACCAGCTGTATGTAGAAGTTTAAATGAAGATAGCCCCCATTGGCTCATGTTTCAATATTTGGTTCCCAGTTGGTGGAACTGTTTGGGGAGGGACTAGGTATGCTTTTGTTGGAAGCTGATGTGTCACTAGGGGTGGGTTTTGAGGTTTCAGACGATGGGTGGCATTTCCAGTGTTCTCTTTCTCCTACATTTGGGTTAAGATGTGAGAGTTCAGCTGTTCCTGCCACCATGTCTTTGTTCCACCAACATGGATTCTAACCCTCTGAAACCAGAAGCCAATTTACATGCTTTATGAGTTAGCTTGTTCATTTGTATCAACTGCCTAGGAAGAATACTGAGCCAGTTTCGATTTATACCCTAAATAGAGCAGATCAACCTAATATTACCAGACCTGAGCACCAGATGAATTAAGACTACAGATAACAAATATCCCAGCCTATCATCACATCTCAGTGAGCTCATACACGTGCCCAAAGCTTACACATGCTTAAGCAAATATGGCAGCCTGTTTCTAATATACCAAGAACAAAGAACTTCAAAAGGCATGAATGACTTCAGAAATCACAAAATGTCTATCATTCAGGTCAAGGTTCCATTCTCACAGTTCTGAGGCACCATGTAGAAAACTGCTCTTTTGAAGGACTTTATTTTCCTAACACTACTTCCCTTGTTAACTGTTCACACTACTGATGCACTTCCTGGCTCTAGAAAGACAAACTGATTACAGTGAGCCTATATGTCCCGCTTGCTACTGTACTTCTAGCTGATGTTTGGTGTATTTATCGCATAAATGGATTCCTCAGTTTATGGGAAAGATAAAAATAACAAGACAGCAATCTTTCTTCTCTCTCTCCTTGCTGTCTCTTATTCCTCCCCTCCCTTCTCTCCCCATTAGCCTTCTATGTAGGACCGTAGTGAGATGATATTCTAATTTTAAGTGTGCATTATTCTAAATCACATGTGGGATACTTTGTTGCCGTATATAACATATAATCTAGAACAATTTTGAAAGCTTGTACAAATTGAAAAATCTCCCAAACCATCCCCTTATAGTAGTTAAAAATATGCAGATGAAGCAACTTTTGAACATGGTCATTTATTTTATGCAGTTTGAATCAATTGTTTAAAAATTCTCAAAAGGCACTTTAAAAAACGTTTAAAAATACATTTTTCTGACTTATTGGTGATCACTTAAAGTAAGCAAGTCACCAGACATTTTTAAACCTTCATTGACACTATTACTTTAAATAATTTTAAAATTTCAAAACACAAACATTCACTGTATAATACAACACACTGCTTAGCAGTAAGATTAGTTTCCCTCTAATAACACACTTCATGTAGATCATTAATTTATAGCGCCCTGCAAAGTTACTAAAACTTAATTAATGTAACTGAAAACTCAAAAGAGGTAAGGGAATCGAAACAAAGTACATTCAACTCTGATGCTGCTTTTACAGTTGCTTCTCTAGAGAATCTGTACAAAATTCTCATTTCCATTGGTGTTAAGATTTCAATACAGCTCTGATATATGACTGTAAGTCATCTTTAATCGATAGAGGTTCCATTAGTGTAAAATATACCACAGCTTGTCTCCCATATTTCTCATGATGTTTCTATAAGTCCTAATACAAAACTATAGGCAATGTGTTTGCCTTTTGCTTTTAAGAGGAGGGTACATATCTTTGCTTTCTTAATTGTAGATGTAGAATTGTTTTAGGTTGTACAAGTTCAATTAGGGTAAGTGATTGCTCAATGAGAGCCAGCAGACTATTGTTGGACTTTTAGTCTCATGAGAAACCTGTGCTAGGTATAAAACTATCATAAAGGATAAACACTCTGATCACCCAAATCAACTGCAAGAAGACAGCACTCTAAGGAGCTAGAAGTTAAGCATAAAGGAACTATCAAAAACAGAATGACACTGAAAGTGCAAGAACAAAGCTAGGTAGGATCTGACAAATCAAGTGGGGATGTCTTTCAAGTATAACAGGGCCTCAATCTAGCAACACAGTTTGACAAGCTAAGAGTGTAAAAACAAAACAAAACAAACCTCAAGAAACAACTATGAAAACAACCAGTTAGCAAACACAGTAATCCTCACACCCAATTACCACATTCAAGACATAGTATGAACTGGTCAATGATTTATTTTTGAATCCTTTTATAGTAACAAACTGATCTATGAAATTTAGATATATTCAAACAGTCAAAACTCTGGGCAAAAACCTGCTTTGTATCTATGAACTTCCCACTAGAAAAACACAAGCATATTATTAATAGATAACATAAGACTTTGTTAAAAGTCGTATGTCTTGAAACCACACTACAATCAACTATTCATATGATAGAGATCTTTACCTAAATGATAGTGAATTAATCATTTCACCATAAAATCTTGCTTAATGTGCTCTATGAAATATTTGGGAGAATTTTTTTGCTTCATTAGATCATAGGATAGGTACATAGGTTTTGAAAGTGACAAAACTTAGACTAATAGTATAAATTAGCAGAAAATACTTGGCATATTATAAAGTAGCATTTTTCTATTTCTATTGGAAATTTCAGTAACTCGTGGACATTTTCATGATATTCATTTACATATGTTTTAATGAATTCATATGTACATATTAGTACTCACTGAACCCTTACTACTCAGTGTGAAATGACTAAACGTGTAGAATTATAGAATTCTAAGGTCCTGGTAATAGTCATTATAGAGAAGTAAAGAATTTTCCCAAAACCAATGATACACGGACCCTTTGAATTTTATAGGATTTTATTTTTAATATAGTATGATCCTGGACTATACTGATTTAAAACATGTTTTAAAGAATCTTTGAAAAATGCCTCTCTCCTGGGCAGAAATCCTGAGTGTGTTCCAAAGACTATTTGCACCAAAATTATGTAGGTAGACAGGCAATGGTTCTCAACATAGGATTACTAAAATTACTTTTTCAGATCAAACTGCTAGGCCCTGTCTTGAGTTTCTGACTTAGATCCAGGCTGGGCTGAAGACAAGAACAAGCTCCAACAAGCTCTCAGCAGTGCTACTCTAATAATTCTCACTAGAAGGTATCTGGTAAGAATGCATACTACAGGGCCCCATGCTAAAAGTCAAACCTTGAGATCTCCATCTTAACTTGTAGCTAGAGTATGAGAATCACAATTTAACAATCAGCATACCCACTTAGCTGTTTGACCAATTTCAACTATTACTAGCCAAAAGTTCCAGAAGTTATGTACTAATCATATGTGTGTGTGTGTGTGTGTGTGTGTGTGTAATTATTCCACATATTCATATCACTAACCCTAAGGCTAACATAATACAAACAACACGTAGGTTTTGATTATAGATCCCAGCCTTTTTACTTACTAGCTTTGTGACACTGGAAACATTACTTGAATTCTTTGAGCCTCAGTCTCCTCACCTATAGTATGGGACTAACACCCAATTTATGAGGATTAACACAAATGTACAGAATAGGAGCAGTATCTGGCATACAGCAGGCACTAGATGAATACTACATATTCTGCATTTTAAGAAATGTGCAATACAGTTCCTTCTGATCTTATCTGATAATTTCATTCATCTAAATCAAATTATTTATACTCCAAGGTAACAGAATAAAACCTTATACATAAAATCATGCCCCTTCTGAGCCAGACAGTGTTCTAATAGCCTTATGTATATTCATTTCTATGATCCTCATTAAAATCCTGTGAGGTAGGTAGTATCATTATCCCTAATTTATAGATGAGGAAATGGAGGCACACAGAAATTAAGTAAATTGCTCAAGGTTACATAAATAGTGATGGAGGAGGAACTGGCTGCCTGGCTTTGCAGCCCAGATTCATTGCAGCATTCATTTGCTATGAGTAAATGTTAAGGATTTTGGATGATTAGGATAAATCATTTACTCTGCTAGTAAAGAAGAGTAGCACGTATGGAATACAGACAAGTTCATATCCAAACCGTGGTAAAGAGCTGTACAAAAAAAACAGACTAGAAGGCCTAGGACACTGGTAGAGGGCACCAATAAAAACAACCTAAACCAAATTAAATTTGTAAATTTGTTTTGTATTTTCATTATAGGGACAGAGTGATCCATAACTAGTCAATGAAATATCCTGTCTAATATATCATCTATAAAGGTCATGGTTTTGGCACAAGAAGTATAAATTATTTATATTTGTTATTTAGCCAAGCTATAGACTTGGTGGTGTACTAATGATGCAAAATTAGCATAATGAAATGTAAATCATTAACAATTAAAAATAATTTTATGGGAAATCTGCAAAATATTCTGCTCTACGTTTAGTATTGATGATGACAAAAACAAGGTTCTATCCTTTCAGATACTCTTTAAGCAGCCAGTGAAGTCAGAGTGATATAGATTGCTTCTGATGGCAGTCTGAATGGAATTTTGCTCTGTTGGAATTACTGCTGGCAAGACTTATCCCCAAATAAGAAGTCAGCAGGAAATATGTTGTTATTTATAAAGTGTATGACATTTTAGCTTGTTTAAGTAGCTTTTACTTCTTGTGTTTTAAATTAATTCTGGCAAAAAGCTTTATTCAAAAATTTTTGCCAGTGTTACCTGCCACATCAGACATAAAAATTAATTTTAAAAGTGCTTTAAACAAGTTATGAAAGGCACAAACAAGTCTCATCTCCACAGGATGAAAATAAAAGGAACAATTATGTAGTTGGGAAAGACTTCTAAATAATCAATAATTCCTGAGAGTGGTACCAGTACAAGAAAAGCTTGTCCAAACAGCAATAAATTTAATTGTTACCTACAATTAACAATGGGTGAATCTGGGAACAAAATGTTTCAAAATGCATGTTTTACAGAATGCTGCCAATGCTTTGAGTAAATAAGCATTAATAATGAAAATGGTATTCAAGAGTCAAATATTTCAAAAGGAGACAACGGGGACTTGGTGTAAGACTGATTATAGAGAGAACTAAGTATGTAATGTAGTCAAGGCCCATAATAATTGGAAATGTGGTTAACCGGTGCACTCTGGGGTAAGTGCCATTCTTATTCTACTTCTTCTTGAGGAAACATTGCCAATTATAAGTAATATAATCACAGAAAAGTTTTCTTTCGGCAATTGGAAGGCTGGTTTGTAGCATAGACATATTAGCTGAGAAACAATACTGAGCAACAGCATTTCTTTCTTTTTTAAGGCAGATCTGTTCAGCATTGTGTTCTAACTGGTGTGGTGCAGAAGGTGATTACAAAATAACCATTCCAACTTTAGTGATAACATACTGTCAGGAACAGTCAGAAACAGTCTTTCTAGCTCTTCTGTCACCATTTAAAAACACAAATTCTTCATATATATTCATTTATATTTATATATTACTGTATCAAAACACATTTTATCAAACTTCACAGCTCTTTAAATGCTTCAGTTTATAGTCATCCGTTTAAAAGATTTTTATATGGAATGTTCACTTCAGATGAGTTCCTCACTGGGATTTCAGTGTTCCGTCAGAAAGGCAGGAGTCCTTCAGTGCAATGTAGGCCATTTAACCTCAGTCCACTCATGGCCTGCTTTCAAGGGTTGCCTAATTTTGTTTTTGCATCTTCTTTTTTGTTTACTTGATTAATTTCTTTTAGTATATTCTCAGGTAAGGCAGGTTGATATCTATATAAATAACCATATGGACGAAGATGATAAACGAGGTATTCTAATTCATACATAGTTGTAGAATCAACATAGTGAAAAGAAACTGCAATATCAGAACAGCAACCAGGACCCTAAAACAGAAGGGGACATTGTTAATAAGTGGCACACAGCCCACATTTCACATATCCACACTAGTTTTAAAACACTGAAGCATCAAAACTTGAGGAGATCTAACCCATCAGATGGTGAAAAAGCCAACAGTTCTTTCAGTCCCTAAGTACCTAAAACCAAACCGGGAACTCCCAAAGCAACTGCAACTGAAGCTGTATTTTCTTATATGTATTTTTTTTTATTTCTTAACCATTTAAACATTTTGATTTCTTCAAATTAAAGTGGAAGCTATTACAAAGAATAAGGTTTTATTTGTCTGACATTTTTGGTAGAAGCCTAAGATATTGTTCTTAAGCATTATAAATAAAATATATTCACTAAACAAGAACTATAGTTGCAGGAAAGAAAAAGGAGCTTTTTGTGGGTGACTACAAATTACTAAAAGATTTCAAGTTTCATGTCAAAAGAAAATCATCAGATATAAACAAATCTGACTGTTATAACTGTTGTAACAGTCAGATGCAAAGTTACATTTAAAAGTTCTCAAAGGTCTGGGATAAAGCACATTCGCATGCATGAGGCCTTGGGTTCAGTACTGAAAACAAACTATCTATATTCTCATATAAGCCAGTTAAGAAAGACTAAAAGCCCAAGCAAGATAGTATCAACTATACTAATTACGCAAGGAACTATTTAAGATGAAACATAGCCATCCGGATCCGGAAAGATGGCTCAGCACTTGTTTCTCTTGCAGAGGACCCAGGGTTTAGTTCCAAGCCCTTACATACATGGTAGTTTACAACCACCTTGTAACTTCAGTAAGGGGATCCAACACCCTCTTCTGATCTTCTTGAGGCACCAGGCATACACACAGGCAAAACACTCACACAAAGGAAAATAATTAAATCAAAAATAATAAACAATGACATACAATGATCTGATGGAAACTATAAAATTTCACCAAGGACTCTAAAAACTTTATGGGTAAAGATATCATTTTCACTAAACTAATGAGTTATACACAAAAAAAGAGACACGACAGTTGCCAAAACACTTTGAGAAAGAAAAGGAAGGAGAACAATACGTCCTTATTTGCTTAAAGACATTTTAAAGGGGGGAGGGGAGAAAAAAACATTTTAAAGGTAAAAGGTTCAAAACAATGTTGGCCAAATCCAATCAGAACAACCACATAGAATGAAATCCCAGATCCTGCCCTTACTATAGGTGATGCTCTGTAGTATACAATGAAGTTGCACTATAAAGAGTCTAAGAATTGATACTACAATAATTTCAAAAAATCTCCATCTAAACTATGCATTGCTTCAGACAGACTAAAATTAATGTAAAAAAATATCTGAAATGAAGAATAAATTAGATTCTGTCATTCTGAACTATACAATTCTGATCATTCTGACTATCTTATACCGTAACTTGCTAGCTAAACAATTTTGTAACTAGACATAATGGTACAGCCTAGAATCATGGCACTCAAAAATTGGAAGATAATTGGAGGTTCAAGAGCAGCCTCTTGTCTCACAAAGAACAACAATCAAAACAAACTAATTACACCAAAGACTCTAAAACAAGGCTAAGATCTATATTCTCTGTGATGATTACAGAGAAAAATATGTGTATTTAGAAATTCTTTGAAGACAATAATTCATACTGCAAAGAAAAGAATTATTGAATTATAAATGAATAATGGAATTCTGGTTTCATGTTGAGTGCTTTAGAACCTTCTAAAAAAGAATGGGTAATTTTAAAAGATTTATGCAACTTCAATACTTTCATTTTTAGAATCTTCCACCTATTGGAATACATTTTTATACGGACAACAAAATTTTGCCATCCATTTAAAAGCCACTATGATTCAAGTAGAAAACAGTGTATCTATTTTATTTATATAAGGCATATTTCTATATGTGCTGCCGAAGCGAGCACATAAGGCATATTTCTAAATACAGCCTTTTTGTAAAGCACTCCTGAAAAGAAGGAAGGATAGTCTACTGCTTATAAAATGGCAAGCATCTCTTTGCTACTGCTGTACATGTACAGAATATCTTACATTCTGTATAAAATATATGTATCTGAGTATATCTGTTTCATGATTTATAATGATGAATTTGAATATATTTTTATATGGGAAGGGGTTCAGAACTTAAGAAAAAAACATCAAAGTCTTCTTATAATAGCAGAAAACGTTCTATACCATTTGGAAGTACTGGTTTGGAGTGGGAGGTGCCCTGAAGTGTATTATTAGGATGTTAGGGCCAGAAAAAGGCAGCATAAAGAACTAGTAACTTGCCTAAAAAGCATTAATAATCAATAACAGAGTCTTTCAGACTCTTTTCAAGCTATGCTTTATAATCCTTTGAGTAATCCACTGTAGTGGTGCTTATAATAGGCATATAGATTTTCTCTAATCAGCAGCAAAATGAATTAATTATAGCATTTTCATATATCAAATTATCACTTAGAACTCAGATGAATGAAACAGAAATTTATCAATGTTAATAAAATTCAATGTGTAAAAATAGAAATTTGTAAGATGTCTAAGGCATAATTTGATCTTAAAAAATCTATGAAACAATGCTGACTTATTTATGCACATATCAACATGTAGGGAAAATGTAAAAGCTTGCAATGGTAATGAATAACATTTAATTCCTGGTAGTAGTGGTTAGAGGAAAAACTAGACACAATTGCACACAAGCGTCAACTGTCTACAACACTTTTATTCTGAAAATATCTGAGGCAAATGTGGCAATAGATTTATACCTGGGAAAGTTAGATGTGTACTCTTTTGAGATAGTTTATAGTTAATACAACTCACGCAGTTCTGATTTAATGTACATTAGGATACTAGAGACAAGCTTGTCATTAAATACTGTCCTGGGCTATAGACTACATTGTAATTACAAGTAAATAAGAAACAGACACAGTCATTTTACTAAAGAAGAAACTGAGGCTCACAGATAAGCTAGATCTACAGTAAGATCACCTAACTATGAAATGGAAGAACAGTATTTGAATCTAGTCTTTCTGAACCTTATTTTTTCCCTGATAACTATAAAACTCATTGTCTAGACCTTCACATAGCTCTCTCCCTACCCTTACCTAAAGCTTTGTTCCATGTCTCCTCCTTAATCACCAAAACCATGGTAGCCCATTGCACCTCTAGTCTTTAGAACAATGGTTCTCCTTCCTAATGTCCAACTCTTTAACAGAGTTCCTCATCTTGTGGTTGTGTTTCTCCCTGCTCTTGTGGATCACTGGCTCATACAGTCCACATGGCAAAGGGAGCAGAGATGATGATGAGGGACGAACAAGGGGAGGGGAGTTTGGAAGTCCTCTGAGTTAGGAAGTCCTGTGAGTATATCTGGTGAATAACATCACCAGGACCAGCGGCAGGAGAGTCATATCAATTTTATTTTGGGTGATTCAAGGCTTATAAAGTTTTGGAGGATGGTGGGTAGAAACATGAAGGATAGACTAAAGGCTTAGGGTACCGAAAGGCCTCATTACCATGGAGAAGCATTTCAATAATCTCACGTGCCAACTGAATGGGTTTGCATCAGGAGACAGTAAGTTGATCCTACAGTCTAACTGAGGCTATGTGGCATTCCTCAGGTAGAGGCAGTGTTGGCACTTAGAATTTCCCAGACAAGGTCAGAGAACAAGTCCAACTAATGAAGGGTGTCTTCCATTACGTGCTGAGCCTCAGAGGCTATCCAGTCAATGGTGGACTTCACCCTCAATTAGCAGACTTTTATCACATTGTGGTGGTCCCTAAACCTAAAATTATTTTGGTTGCTCATCTGTAACTGTAATTTTGCTAGTTATGAATCACAATGTAAATATTTCTGCAGTTAAAGGGTTACAAAGGAGTTACGACCCACAGGTTTAGAGTCCCTGTCGTTCTCTACAGTCACTTCTTTATGAGTATGCCCGTTTACCCTGGGCCTCCTCGTGTAGCACATAAGAAAACTGTGAGATGACTGTATTAACTTCTACATGCCAGTCACAGTATGCTAGCGGCTAATCTATAGAGGCTACTAAATGACTGCCCGGGGCCTCTCTGTTCTCATCTGCTTTACTATACTGTCAGTATATACATTTATAAAAAAAAAAAAAAGCTCTGGTTATTGGTACTAATGAAACATGTACATATTAACTAGTCTTTTTTTTTTTTTTAATTTTCAGGTAAACAAAAGTTAGTCCCAGGTATTTATATAACATAATAACTTCTAGACTTACCTCTATGGGAGGATAATAGTTGTAATTCCAGTACCAAAATGTTTTCGGTAGATAACCTTTGATTAAGTGGTGTTCTGGTACAAATGGGTGGAAGGTTTCTTTCCCAATGGTGTCTCTGGAATCTCCAGCTTCTACATTTACAATTTCCATGCACCTTCCCAGTGCTAAGTCTTCGATGGAGGAACTATGTGTACATTTTTCTGTTTTAAATCCATCAACAAATCTTCTCAAGGCTTCTTTGCTTAAGACATATCCTGCTCCTCCACTCATGTATCCCTGCTTCACAAAGGGCTTAAATCTTCTCCCAAAGTAAATGGGTTGTTCGGGGCTATACTTCGATAGAAGCCATCTTAGATTGTCCACTATGACATATGTGTCATCATCTGCTTTCATAAACCAGTCAGCATCTGCTAAATAATGTTCATGCACATACTGAAAAGCTTTAATTGTTTTCCAATACAGCTGCTCTCTGCCTTCTTTGGTTTTCAATCCCACAGTAGGGAAGTCTTGATTTTCTTCCGAACTCATAAATAACACTTTATTACAACGTTGAGCCCATGTAGCTTTGACATGTTTGGCCTTTGTCTCTAGATTTTGAGGGCTTGTCATAACCCAACAAAGAATTTTAACTTTCTCATAGAGGTTCTCAGCAATGTCTGTGTTCTCATCTATCAAACAAACATTTTTAAAAAGTTACCTTTACACAGATGTAAAACCCAAATAAATCACATCAAAGAAACTTTCATAAATAATTTCCAAGATTCTATTTACTCATCATTATTAATGACTTTGTGAAGTGGGCACAAGCTAATGTGACTTGACACTCTAATTTCCTGTCAATTTTATCTACAGATCTCTGAAACATCACCAGCTCCTAAGTGCTTACTACCTGAACCAACTGAAAGTATCAACAGCATCCGGGAAGTCCCTTAGCAGTGAGGTGTATAGCATGCCCCACCTCAGACCTACCAATTCAGACTCACGTACCACTTCATATTGTCTCTCCTTGCTACTTAATACTACAAAGAAAGTAATAATTCCCAATATCCCTGGAAATTTCTCACTGTTTGAATATGTTTCTAAAAGAAGAATAAAAAGGAAAACAAAACAAGAAAATCTGCTGCTAAAGACAGTTCATTATTTTTGAAGCCCATGAACCAATTTATGAATTTGTACAAATACTCTAAGGTCTTCCTGAAGACTTTCACAGTAACAACATCTTCAGTTCAAAGCAAAGGAGTAATGTAGAGTTGAGAGTGCTTGGATAATACTACACACCTCACTCCAATGCAAACCCAGCAGTTAGAAACAGTACGGAGCAATGGGTAGAGGTTGGATTTCTGAGATTATCTACAATGATGTTTTTGTAGGCTAGCAGTTTGTAAAGAAATAGGAGGCTCATGTCAGAATATAAAGTGGAATACTACTGTCATCCAACCAGGTGTGATGAAAATGCTTACTAAATACCATCGTCAGCTTAGGATCTGAAACCTGGTCCAAAAGCTCCTCACCTGGGTAGTAACAATTCTCAAGCTATCAGGCTCACAATGGGAACAGCACTGGTTTGGAGGAAGGGTACAACTAGAAGATGTAGACTAGTACTTTTTAAAAACATACTTTTCTTCTTTGAAAGTTGTATACATTTATATACTGTATATTGGCCATACCTATCCATCACTATGTCCTTCCCATCCCCCTAGTGTTACACCTCTTTTGTCCCAACTTTATAACTTCACGCCCTATTTTTTCCCCCAAAGCAGGACTTCACTGTGTATCCCTGGCTGTCCTGGAATTTGCTCTGTAGACCAGGCTAGCCTTGAACTCACAGAGATTCACCTGTCTCAGTCTCCTGAGTTCTGGGGTTAAATGTATGTGCCACCACTGACTGGCTCCTCTTTTGTGTTTTTATTGCCATTAATAACTCAAGTCCAATTAGTACTGCTCATATGTCATTAATGTGTGGCCATATACCAAGGCTTTTAAAATTATTATGTGGTGAAGGAGCATTCTTCATTTTCAATTGTTAGAGGCCTACCTATACTTCTATAAATCATTAAAAAGTACTCGGCTTTGGAATATATACAAGCACTGCATTTCTATTTTTATATCTATACAAAATTACTTTGCAAATTAGTGTTTTACTCCTGATTCCAACTTACTTAATTACAGAACAATATAATCTATAAGCAACAATTGATAAGAAAGCTCTAGTTAATCCTAAGGTACAACACTTTTAAAGATAACGGTCAACTAGCTGTTGAAGCCTTGGTCCTGTAAAGGATTAACAATGAGGTACAGTTAACTAGTTAACTGACTGAAAGAGAACAGAAGAAAAGGCGAGGAAGGGCATGAAAGAACTTTCAAGCCATGGAGTACCAGGAACTCAGTCCAGAAGAGGAGCTGCAATCTGTAGTTAGGAAGCATCCACTGCTCATGGAACTAAGGAATCAATCTTAGCCACAAAGACTCATCTCACCCTGGATGAACAGCAAGAAATGGTATAGTACATGGAGGAAGACAAGACAGCTTTACCCCACAGCTGGGGTCTGATCAATCTTCTCACTGTATGCACATATATTTGATAAATATCTGTTATCTTCATGGACCACAAGATGTGGGTAACGCTAAAAATTACTCACCACACTCTAAATGTATAGACTGAACATCTTTTTCTTCTCACTTCCAGAACACTATTTTTCTAGTTTTCTCATTTTATCTATATTTCATTTGTTATTTACTTTGTACTAGCTATGTGCTAGCACAGGAGTGGAAATATGAACAAGACACATTTCTTACCAGAACAAAATCCAGTTTAGCAGGGAACTTCACAAATAAACCAGGAATTGTTGCATAGTAAGAAGTGCTGTGACAGAAGGATCTTTCAAGTAGATATATGTTTTTCAAGTGTGTGGGTGTTTAGTCTGCATGTATGTCAGTAAACCACATGCATGCAGTGCCAACAGGGGCTAAATGATGGCTCTACAATTGGGGTACCTGTTGTAGGCCACGATGTGGGTACTGAAAACTAAACCCAGGCCCTCTAGAAAAACATCTAATATTCTTAAGCACTAAGCCATCTCTACATCCAGCCTGACAAATGAACGTTGAAAGGGTTCTGTATGCTCAGGGGAAAGGAGGTGAGAGGACTAGTAAGTGAGAGTCCTAAGAACTTGGGCGGATCAGAGGAGGGAGAAATGAAGCCACTAGAAAGATGATGTAGGACTTGGGTCTTCAGGAAAAACTCACTAAAAGAAAGGGCCAGAGAAGGCATGAGGAAATGTAATAGAATGTAGGTATGTGCAGGCAGCTGCAAGCCTGACTTAGGGAAAACATTTAAGAGCAAGAGATCTTGGAAGACAGCAATATAGCACTGTTAAAATTCAATAGCAATTGCAATGTAAAAACAACATATCCCCAATTTCATAGTTCCCAGCTTACATGGATGGTTGCTGGAGAAAATGAAAAAAAAAATAATGTTTCTGAGTGGACAGAAAAAGGAGTTTAATTTATACATTGTAAGAATGGGGTAATTTTTAGCATGACCCACAGGTTGTTCATGAAGGTAACAAATATTTATCAAATATCTGTGCATACAGTAAGGTCCAGCATAGCTTCCCAGTAATGCATAAGTCTGGACCTGTGCAGAAGAGTAAGTACTGGGCAAGTAAACTGCTTTGTAAGAACAGAAAGCACCACTGAACAACTGTGCATAAACAGTCATGCAACAGGACAATTTGTTACACTACAAATGTGAGTTAGTTGATAACATACAATCAGATTTTGATAACCTAATCCTCAATCTCTGTATAAGGGCAAGAAAGACACAATTTACTGCTAGGAAGATAAAAGAACCAAATCTTAATTGGAGGGACCTTTTCCATTTTGCAATTTCAATTATTTCTAGGCTACGTGTATTCTGTTCTACCAAATCATTTTGCAGAGATGTTTGATTATGTTAATAAATGCTTTCTCTCAATGTTTGGAAAGGGACTGAAGATAAATTCAGTAAGGAAAAGATAGAAGTCAAAGTTTCAAGAGTTGGTGACATCACACAGCCAAAAGTAAAGGACAGAAACTTAGAGAAACCAACACTCAAGGGATACACAGAAGACGAAGACAGCTGTGAAAGAAGACTGGTGTCAGCAAAAAGGAGAAAATGAAATCACTGTAACATGCACTTACTTTTGTTACTCTTTTACTCTCAAAACAAAAAAGTGATTAATCACTGACAAAATGCAAATTAAAACTTAAATATACATCGTAATCTTTCTCTATGGTAACAGGACTAAACAAAAACTAAACAATTTATATAAGTCATAGCAAAACTGACCCTACAGAAACATTTCCTCAAGCTCATGTCTTTCTTGTGTCATTGTTTTAAGAACCATCTCCAACTTAGAGCTAATTTTTAATTATTAACTTCTTAAACAAATCATGGGTTTTTCTCCCAAGGCAAATAAATCCAAAGTCACCTTCACATCTAAACACACAGGTGTCATTTTAGTCTATTGGTATAAAGAGGAACAAGATTCCCAACATACTCAACAACTAAATACTTTTTCCTAACACAGCCCATACCTTTATGTTGGTTAGAATCTGCATTGAAGTTCATTTGTCCTTTGAGTTGACTGTGTTCATCATCATCTGAATGTCTTGCATGAGGATCATTATGAAGCATGCTAGGCTGAACAGCAGCCTGTTCTTGCAACAAAATACTGAATAGTTGAGAACATAAAAAAAATCCTATTGCTGATCCACAGAGGAAGGTTAAAACATTCAGCCAAGATTTAGAGGCCATTTCCTAGGAATGTATTTCTGTAAAAAAGAAAAATAGTAATAATTATAAAATAAGTAATAATAAAACAAATAATAATTTTGAATTAGTACCTGGTTACAGAATTATTAAGTGGTCTACATTATCATAAAGAAATATTCTGAGGTTTAATTTGTGTTGAAGTTGATCCTTTCCCTTCTGTAAGACAACGGGTCTAATAGTACTGACCTCTCCTTACCTATAACTTTACCTCTTTATGTGTTGTTTTAACAGCCCTTTGTGGACAATTACAAGCAAGTAGAAGGTGGAGCCTAGGAGCATTTGCACAAACTGAGCAGCATAAGAAGATGAAAGACCTAAATATGAGGGTAATTAAGTGCATGCAGCCCCAAAGACCCCAAAGAATGGCCTGTATCACTGCCTACTTCAATAGAAACATAATTAACACTTGGTCTGTGTGCTACAATCAGATAATAACTTTTCAACAGTTAGATATATGTGCACCACCCACCCAGGGATGGGTAGGGAATGGGCAGAGTCAACGAAGTTTTGGGATATAGGTTCTTATTTTTAAAAATGTAGTTTTATTTAAAAAACATCCATATCTATGTCTGTGTATGATGACTGTGGCTGGTTCCAAATCAGAGCTGAGTAACGACAACAGAAGAAACATGTCCAGCAAAGCTTCACCTGGCCCTGTAACAGAAGTTAGCTGCTTTCTTCTCCAAGTCCCTGTTTTGCAGCATTGCTGGACATAGAGTCTGGATGCTCAAGTCTCACTGCTAACATACTGGCTCACAAAGCTCCAGTGCGTCTGTCTATCATCAGATTCAGTACGGTGCCTGGAACAGTGCGGGCTCCAAGAATACTTGCTAACTGCTTCACAACCAAGTTCCTCTCTTTTTAACAGTTTGTTAACAGTCAACTACATGGCAGTTATAAACACGGATGAGGGTGGCTTTAAGTATATACTTTCTCATTCTCTAAGAGAAGTTCCAAAAGTGCTAAGCATCTGCCATACACTAGTTCACTTTCTATTCTCCTAATGTGCATTTTACAAGAAAACCAAGTTTAAAAAGTCAAACTGGGGAAACAGTTCATTATGAAGGTCAAAGTGCAGACACTAGCCCCATGTAACTTGTTATATACACGCACCTTTCCATTTTCTAGAGAAGGTTTAGCTATCTGTGCATTTAGTTATTCTGGGAGAGTCCTGGAACCAATTTGCCTCCAACAAGCTGGCAATTTTGACCGCAAGCACCTATAATTCTGACTCTGAGGGATCTGATGGTCTTTCCTGGCTTTCATGCATGCATACTCTGCATGTGCATGCACACGCACACGCACACACACACATACACTAAATCTTTAAAAGTCAACAGGTAATACAGACTTTCCCTTAACACTATTTCCAACACAATATAGTATAACTATATTAGGCAGTATAAGTAATGTAATGAAAAAATGGAAAGGTATTTGCATCTAACTCCTTTCCATGTTATGTAAATGGTTAGCACAATTACAAAGCAGAGATTTGCACTCTCATCTACCTGCTTAAGAAATATCAATGTTTTATCCATTAAATTCCTCGTTTTCAAACAATCAGCATTAATAGAAAGGACAAAATACATACACAGAGTCGGGAAGAAGAACTTAAAAGATAATTGGCATAAGCCAATAATCACCACTATCATAACCACCAAACTGAAAAAGCTCTACCACTGTATTTATGGAATGCTTCACTGGGTTCACCTACACTAGCTATCAATGCAAATGAGAAAAGACCAACAAAGTATAAGAGACCTGGGAAGAGACTGAGACAGTGATAACTAGTGAGGAGGAGGAAGAAGAGCGTAGTCAGGATAGGTGAGCCAGGTACTTGCCACTCTGGACAGTTAAGGTTGTTCTTCGCTCCCGTGGCAAATTGGTTCTAGGATTCCTCCAGAATAAGCAAATCCACAGATGGCTAAATCTTCTACAGAAAATGGAAAGGTACTTACATATAACAAGTCTCCTATATACGTTCAGTGTATTTAAAGAATCCATAATATTGAATACAATATAAGTGATATGTTTTTATAGTTTTTACACTGTATTGTTTAGGGAAAAGGATAAGGAAAATGACTGCACATGCTTATTACACATGCACTTCTCCAACAGCTTTAATCAATGGTTGGCTCAATTTATGGATATGAAGTGCCTGGATATAGAAGGCTGACTATACCAATTTAGAAAATAAACAGTTGAGGTGGCAATAACACTAAGTAAAACTCAAAGTTAGCATCGTTCTAGGAGAGATGCAGAGAAACGCTTGGTGTTTTATAATCTGCTTCCAATTTTAAAATACTTTGGGATGTTGTCTGATGCTGCCATCCACACTTACTCTTCTCAGAGCCGAGTCAGAGCATATGAAGGCTCCTCCCCGTTGTTGTCCTTCCAATTTCAGGGACTCCTGCCTTTACGACGATTTGTGAACTCCTATTTTCTTTCCTGCTCCTACAATAAAGCAGTCACCTTGTGAAGGTGGAATGTATTCCCAAAGCCCAGTTGGGTTTCTGATAAGAGCATGTCTTTTTCTCTCAGATTCTTCAGTCATACTGCATGCAGTACACTAGACTGAAAGACGACGTCACTCAGCCATGCTGGATATTAATTATGGAAGCTTGCTTAGGTGAGAGAGAGTTGTCTATTTCAAGTGCTTTCTAAGCCCCATATAACATGAGAATTACATGAGGGACATTTTAAAAATACACATCTTTAGGCTTGTAAACTGTGACCTCAGATGCAAAAAAGAACTGAAAAAATTAAAAATTATTTGGATTTTAAAGAAAGGGCTTTGTATTGTTTTGAAGAAAAAAATTCAACCAATAAAGATTTGTATAAAGGAGGAAACAGGGCTGGTGAGATGGCTCAGCAGTTAAGAGTAATTGCTCTTCAGGAGGTCATGAGTTCAAATCCCAGTAACCACATGGTGGCTCACAACCAACCGTAATGAGATCTGATGCCCTCATATGGGTGTCTGAAGGCAGCTACGGTGTACTTTGGGCCAGAGTGAGCGGGCCAGAAGAGAGCTGGGGCAGAGCAAGAGGGAGAAGAGAAGGAGAAAAAAGAAAAAAATAAAAATAAAGGAGGGAACAACCCAAAGCTCACTACTCAAAAATAATAATTATTAACATTTGGCAATAATGGTTATAGATCTATAACTACGAATAGTAGGAGATAAGGGAAGAGGTAACTATGGCAAACATGTCAGAAATATTATATAATAACTTTATATAGAGGGAAGGTAAAATGGTTCCGTGAGTAAAAGGTACTTGCTGCCAAGCCTGGCAACACATGTTCAATTCCAGAGACCTGCATAATGGAAGACAAGAACTGTCTTTTGCAAGTTGCCCTCTGTCGCCCATATACAGGGCATGGTGCACACGTATGTGTGAACACACACACACAAGTAAGTGCAAAAATGTGGTAAGAGCTTTACATAGATAAACTGATGAACTTATTTGCATTTTACAGATGAATGCAAATAGATCAGTAACACTGTATGTCACACTGGCAAACTGAATTAAGAATTCTGACTCTTAACCGCTTTGTTATAGTTTTAAAGAATTGAGATTACTCTGGTTATACAATTTCAAAGACTTAACACTGTGAATTCTATTTCTTTGAATTTATAAGAAAAAAGGAAATGAAATTAATCTAAAAGAGTTAAATATTTAGAATGATCTTTAAATAAATGATCCCTTTTGAAGATAGAGAAAATTATCAAAACCAGTTTTATTTTCTGAATGTGAATTATAGGCAGCATGTTTTTGCTGTGAGAAATATAGAAATCCATACGTGTGCTGTGCTCACACACACTTCATTAGTTTCTTTGTGTTCTGTGCTGTAGTTGGGCCATGGCTGCATCTTACTCCAAGTTCATCAGCAGTCATCTTCTCAGAGCTTTGCTCACTCCTGTCACATGCCACCAGCTGGCTCCCAGCAACTAGTTGTGCCAGTACTAACTGGCACTACAGCTGGAATTCCTGCAGGCTCAAGAATGCCTGCTACTGATTTCATAGAGAAAGTACAACTTGATTCAGTATGCTTTTTTCCTCCAAATTTTGTAGATATTATAATTATACCATGGTCTTCTCATATGAGTACCACACAAGTATGTACTCCTTGTAGATTATTATTTTTGCTTTCTGTAGACACAGGCATATCTTGTATTACTGCCTCTCCAGACATTCTGTAGTCCTGATAAATTGAAGGCTGTGATAGTCCTATACTGAACAAGTCTAGTTTTCCAAAAGGACCTGCTCGCTTTCTACCCGTGTCACGATTTACTAATGTGCCCAATTCGGGGACACTAAGACTACAGGAGCAGTAGCAGTGCTAGGAACCTAGCTGAAGGTTTCATGCATGCCAGACAAGACTTTCACTTCTTATTTCAAGACAGTTTTACTAAGTAGTCCAGGCTGGCCTAGAACCCGTTCTATATCCTTAACATGTTATCCAGTTGACTTGCATTCCAAACAGATAGGGTTACAGGCCTGATTCATTGTTATTACATACTATGGTTATCTGTAATCAGTGACCTTTGCTTTCAGTTTTAGTAGAATTTTAGGACACTATGAAAAACTCCTGTATAAGGCCATGAACCCAATAAAGGTTGTGTTCTGACTGATTCACTAACTTTTGTTCTCCATTTCCACCCTTTCCTGGGATTTAACAATACTGAAATTAAGTCAAACAATAATCTGACAATGGATCCTAAGTGTTCAAGTGAAACAAACTCTTACAGACACCAGTTTAAATTAAAAGCTGGAAATAAATATACTTAGTAAGAAAGGCATGTCAAACTAGGATTCTTATACCAACTAGCTAAGTAGTAAAACAAAAGGAGAAGTTCTTGAAGCAAACAGACATTCCTACTGCTTTGTATACATGAATGACAAGGGAATTTAAGTCTTATTGCTGGTACGAAATGGTGCACTGCATATTCACTGTGGTATTTACTAAGCAAAAGCCTAACTCAGAGAAAGACCTTAACTTA